TACTGTGCCTAATCTGTAGAGCCACTGGAGGCTGCCTCATCAATGAAGGCTGGCAACTCTGTAGGTCCTCTAGGAGGCAGTCGCAGCTGGACAAGATGGCGTAGAAGGCGCGCTACATTATTCGTCACTTGACTCAGGACTATAGTCCTCACTTGTGCGAAGTAGGTGACATCGGTTGCGTCTGAGCGCTTTGTGAGGTCCTGTTTGCACGATGTAAGACCTCGGGCCAGCTGTGTTGACAATCCTGCCCATACGCGACCAAGCATTGTCCCGTATTCGAACTACAGTGCCTTGCGTCAAAGGTGGAATCGGTCGTCCTTCCTTTAGTTGCGGGTGCTTTCTAACTTCTGTTTCGGCGACTTCGTTAAAATCAGGAATGTTACTTGTGAGGCGCCTGCCTTGCAGTAACTCAGCTGGTGATCGTCCATCTTCTAAAGGTGATGATCGATAGGACAACAGACCTAACCAGAAGTCCCTCCTTGAGTCGGCGCATTTTTTTTCAGGATACGCTTGACTACTTGGACGCCTTTCTCCGCCAGTCCGTTGAATCGGGGTAGCCCGGGCTTGATGTGACGTGTACGAAGTCGTACTGTTTCGCGAAGAGCGCGAACTCGTAACTGGCAAATTGTGGGCTGTTGTTCGTGCATACTTCAACCGGAACTCCTTAGCAGGAAAAGATAGCACTGAGAGCCTCTACTGTGGTCCTTGCCGTTGTGTTACATAGTTGCTCGACTTCTGGGAAATTTGAAAGAGCATCAAACACAACGACATATGATCGCCCGGCATACTGAAATATGTCTGCACCAACCCTATACCATGGGCATGCTGGAGTTTGGCACAACAGCAGAGGCTCTTGTGGTTGCTTGTAGGCATACTTCTTGCAAGTGGGACAGCTCTGAATAGGCTTAGTTATGTAACTGTTAAGTCCTGGCTAAAAAATTAGACTTCTGGCTCTTGCTTTGCACTTGCGCAATCCGAGATGGCCGGCGTGAACTCTGTCTAGGATTTCGCGCCGCATGCTTTTCGGTACCACGACTTTGCTGCCCTTCAACAAAACTCCATTCACGACTGTCAAGTTCGTGGAAAATGGCTTTAATTCACCTTGTACCTCTTCACCAGCGGTTACCTTGCCAATAACCACATTTAAGTAGTCGTCCTGGGCAGATGCGTTGGCTAGTTTACGGCGCGTATTTTCGGTGACCATTGCGCCCATGAGTTGGGTGGCATGAATGTTGACGTCCTCCGTTGCCCCAGTGTTGTCATTTCCAATTCGATGGGGATGCTCGTGACAGCATATTTACTGGCACAAGATCCTTTCCTGGGACGAACTGCAAAGAATAATAGTATTTCATAAGCCTCAGAAAAAATCTCTGCAAGCGCGGGGGCATGTCAGAAATTTCCTTGGTTGCTATTAAAATTAATGGTTTGCGATAGGTTTCGATGACTGAATTTCTGGCCGCACACAAATCGATAGAACTTTTCGCACCCCAAAACAATGCCTAGTGCCTCTTTCTCAATTTTTGCACACCGTTGTTCGACTTCCGTCAGGACACGGGAAGCGTAGGCAACTGGTCGCCAGCTGTTGTCTGCCTGACACTGCAGAAGCGCTGCACTTACACCACTTTTCGAAGCATCGCATGTTATCTTAATGGCCTTTCTGGGATCAAAGATGGCTAGCACTGGCATTGAAGTTAAGATGTGATCGACTGCTTTCCATTCTTTTGCGTGGTTTTCAGTCCACTCAAAAATGTGTTTGGACTTGATAAGATCACGCAGTAGCGTAGTTCTTTCTGACAGGCGTGGGACGTACTTGCCAAAGTAGTTTAGTACCCCGAGCATGCGCTGAACATCGGCCTTCGATTCTGGCGGTGGCACATTCCTCAAACTTTGAATGAGCTTCGGGCTGGGCGGATATGCCTTTCCGACTGATCACGTCGCCCAAGAACTGTATTTCTGTCAACCCAAATTCACATTTTTGTGCGTTTAGCGTCAAGCCAGCTTTCTCAGCCGCCTGCAAAACTGCCTGCCAGTCTATCATCGTGCTCAGTTTTCGTTTTGCCCCACACTAGGATGTCATCGATGTAAATATGAACGCCTGGCAAACCGTCAAAAACCTGGCTCATTGTCTGCTGAAAAACTTCCAGGTGCAGATGAAATGCCGAAAGGCAAGCGAAGATACCTGTATCTGCCGAATGAGGTTGCAAAAGTACATATCTTGGATGTTTGCTCGTCTAAACGAATCTGGTGAAACCCGGAGTTCGCGCCCAATCTGCTAAAGTGCGCAGCACCAGCAAGTTCTGCTTCGATATCTTCCCGTTTGGGAAGCTGATAATGCTGCCTCTTGATATGTTCATTGATGCGCCTCAGATCTATGCATACTCTTAGACTACGGTCTTTCTTCTGCACCAGAACCAAAGGACTCATCGTACGCAAGGCGCTTCTTGATAATTTTGTTTGCTTCTTGATAATTCCAGCATGCTCCATTCTTTTAAGCTCCTCACAAAGCGGCTGACGTAATGCGAGCGGCACGCGGCAAGCTGGCTGGACGACAGGCACTGTTCCTGGTTGCAGCACCATGCTGTACGGCTTCTTGAGACATCCGAGACCCTGAAAAATGTGCTTGAAGTCGTGTAGTACATCATGCTCGTGGCAAGCGTCAACTATGCCTACAGTACGTTGAAAAAGACCCAAACTTTCACTAGCGTCCAAGCCAAGTATGGCCTGACCACGCTTTACAACGAAGAAAGTGATATTTTTAGTTGTCTCTCCTATAGTGACACTTTGTGACTTCCTCCCAAAATTCTTGATCTCTCCTCGGTTGTATGCTCGAAGTACTGAATTTGAGGGCTTCAACTGACATTCTGTTGCCATCTTTCTGTAAACAGCAAAAGGTAGGAGGTTAGCCTGGAAGCCGGTGTCAACCTTAAACAGTACTTCTTGATTGGCAACATGTGCCGTCACTTTCCAATCCTTGCCTCTCCTTGAAGGATTTCGAAGGTATCGTCGACACCTTGCTCGGTTACTTCCCTTACTTCGTCCTTGCCCATATGTGTCGGGCAGCATATACTGCGAAATGATGAAGCCTATTTCAAAAGTTGCATCGCTTTCCCTAAGCAAAACACTGGCGTGGTTTGTGCTGGCGGTTACACTTCGTACACCGATAATCGCTGCCTTGACGCCGAGTGTCTGTTCTATACTTCGTTGCTGTCCTTGTTGCAATAGCGTCTATCACATTGTTGCCTTCGCGCCAGACTACCTTCCTTTGCGTCAATGCTTCTGCAACTTTGCACATTTCTTCCGCTTTCTGCAGCGTTAGGTTCTTTTCCTGAAGCGATTTCTCCCAAAGTTTTGCATCGTTAGTGCCGAACACTAGCTGGTCTCTCACCATTGAATCTTTTGAAACACCAAAGTTGCACTGCTCTGCCTGCTTCTTAAGGTCGCGAAAGAAATTATTCAAACTGCTCTCCCTCAGCTTGGTTCCTCAAGCAAAACAAGTATCGTTCATGAACTTCATTTCCCACCTCACAGCAGTAGGCTTCAAACTTTCGTACGACGGTTCCGTAGTCTTCCCTGTTTTCTTCGTCCGCGAACTGGAAGGTGTTGAACGCGTCAAGGACGTCGTCTCCGGCAACGCTGAGCAGGAGGGCTGCTTTCGACGATTCGGTCCTGGGATGTTTTTTCGACGCTGTCGCCTGGAGAAATAAGTCAAACTTTTGCTTAAAGCGTTTCCAGTTCGAAGCCAGGTTACCCGTAAGCTACAAAGGTTTCGGGGGCCTTAGTTCCATCACCACTTCTTTGATGGCCGCACGGCTGCCACTTCTGGCACCATGTATCGTGTTGATAAGTGACGGAGGCAACAGCAGGGTGAAGAACAAGAATCACTCGTTTTATTGCATGCCCCGTATTTATACCTTGGTAGATGTACACTGCGCATGTGCGGTGCCGTATCGGTTGTAGGGGAATAACACGTGCCCGATACAACGCTAGGCCAAGCACAGGGAGATAACTGTTGATTCAGAGAGCGCGCATCAGTGCATAGCTATGGTTACAGAATATAGCCGTTTGTGCGACACATCTCATGAAACCAACACTGATCGGAGGTCCATGACTCTGAAATTATAATTTTTAAATTTAGGACATGAAATGCCCGATCTAACCGGAGCTTCAAGCCGCCACCGCTCAGCGGTATCTCGGTACATGAATGTTGCGAATTTTACATGTTCAAGGTAACATGATATCACAAGAATAAAGGAAGCATATTGAAGCGTCTTGTGCAAAATAAATGCAGGGGAAAACTGGTTGGGTCCTGGACACTCCAATCAAATTGTTGTCTTTATCTCCGTTTCCAAAGGCAGAAAGTGAAACACCGCCTCCTTCTCAACCTAGGAAAAAGGGAGAATGCACTCCTAGTTCCTACTACTGTGAGGGTAAACTCGGCGCTAACACAAAGCAACCACACGGCACAGCCAGCACAGTGCAATGATGTCGAGAGTTGACTCATCAGTGTGGTAATGTGAAGGGTTGACTCGTCAATAGTGGCTAGCTTCCGGGCAGGCCGCAAAGACATGAATGCAACAAGGAACATTGGAAACGTCCTCGTAGCCCAAGCAACAATCTGTCCTCGGCAAGATGTTGGCGAGAGGTCTCTGACTGACTGCGGAGTGGTTAGCCCGACCGTGGCAACCAATGTAGGGCCGGTCTTCGGGACTGACATTGGCCTCACGCCAGCCGAAGACGGCACACATAGTAGGCCTGACCACGATGGCCGACGAGCCTAAGTGCGTGCCGCAGGTGGGCTGACCATGACTCGACCTTACATAACCGTCGATTTACCCATAGCTGCAGGTCAGTTGCCAACATTCCTTGCTCTGCCTTTTTTTTTTTTTGTATTTTGTGCACATGACATTGGCTCAGTGCACATGTAAGACGAAATAAATGCTTCTAAAGCCTGCACTTGTTAGCGTGTAAGTACGTAACACGCAGTAAAAGAAAGCCAAACGTAAGTTTCCTCAATTTATATGTTTATTCCGCAGTTGTATAAACGTACTATGATTTCATGCTACATTGTTCGCATAGAACGATTTGCAGCAGGCTTTGTGCAACTCAATCATACAGTCCATGGGGTGGTATTCCTGCTAGATCAGTTCTCTCTTTCAGTCAATTTCTGTGCTTTTGGTCATGAATACGTATTCGGTGTGCAGCGTTTTACCATCATGATGTGAAACTTGTATCGTTCTGTTTTTGGGAAAAGCTGAAAAGAACAAACAGAATGATTAATACTTTGAGAAAGGCAGACTATCACATGAATAGTAGTTCAATCGCATGTATTTATAAGCTCTATTTGCACAATTCGGAAAAACAATTTTATGTGTATATGCACAAATAGGAAAAACTGTGCACTTACAATAATGATGTCAAGGCTTTGAGATTCTGAAATGTGCTTTTAGTCCCAGAGCACACAGTTTCGTCGTAATATGTCGCTGGAAAACAAACAGTACAACAAATAAATTAAGGACAACACATCTTACCTTCAAGGCAGGCCAGGCAGATATTTTTTAGTCGGCATTTACAGCCCACTTGGGATCTAATGCAACGTGAAAAAAAAAATTGTGTAGGACTTTAGCAACCAAGCATGCATCTTAGCAGATTTCTTTTCTGTAGAGTGAGACAAGTGTGTCATGCTATCCACACTTTTTGCAATCCCTGTTGCAGTGCTCCCTAGAGGGAAAAAATAGCAATATTTGTCATGCTCCTGCAATATAAACAAACGAACAGAAAAAAATACAAAAGGCGCATATTTACTGCTAAACAATCAACGACGACTGATAAGCAGCTGTTCACCTGTATCATTCTTATTCGTCAGCAAGACGAGACTACTGGATTGACACATCAGTTGCGCAGATCAAAGTGAATTGTTCCAAGAGACAAAACTGGCAAATCGTCAGGAAACATTGCCACTTACGAGTGCCCATGAAATCTTCGGCAATGGCATGCGGCTGCCTCTATGAACATAGCAATAGAAAGGCTGCTCAATACATGTAGTTTTACAACTTTGCATGATAATGGCAAGCCCTCAACGCTTTGAGCGCTGCCCTCTTTTCTAATGCCGCGACCTAAAAAAAGTAGAGAAAAAAACGAAAGCCCCGACGCACGCTTCACCCCCATCGATGCGCAACCCCATTCCTTTCCTTTGTTCCGGTCTTTTCATTTCTTCTGTGAGAGAGACGTGATGTGCGGTGTATGCATTCTCTCCACAAAGCCGAAACACAGGACCCCAACTTTTTTTTTTTCTTTCGAAGGAACACACGTGCTGCTCTGTGTGGTGAGAAAACAAATATCATCAAAAAGAGGGGTGGTTCCGTCTTCCCACCAGGAGCTTATGGGGCGGGCTGCAGTAGCTCGAGTGGCCGGGGCAGTATAACCACGAAGTACCAAAAGTTTTTTTTAACATGTTTTTCCCCTTTCCGTGTTTCTCTGCTAGCACGCGATTCTTGAGCTGACCTTGGCTTGCAGGGACTGCGTCGTGCTCCTCACCGGGCTGCAGAAATTTGTTTGTTTGTTTGTTTGGGTGAATGCCGCGTACCCACGTTGGGAGATTGGTTAGGCGCCTTCTTTTTCTTCCAATGACTACCACCATCGTCTTGGCTTGTCTGTACTTTTCCAGCGCATTTAGCTTTTAAATGGCATATATGCATTGTTTGAGTCAAATTCGCTTACGGTAGCGGTCTAATATTTAGGTAATTTACGAATAATAAATTTTATGGTAGCAAAAATCTAGTACTTATATAATCAAATATTTACGTAATATTTACGTAATCAAAACAGCCAATTTTTTTTGTATAAAAATCTGCTGGTGTATCGTAGAAAAACAAAAACGTAGTTGGACATTTATATATGTATGTATATATAATTATATATACGTATATACATTTTGCTACGGTATGAGCTGGGCTGTGGTATGTGTAGGTGATATGACACAGGAAGAAAACGTTGTCTGGTGCAAACTGAGGACTCCATCTTTACTTCTAATTGCCCAATCTCATCCTCATCCTGCAAATAAACCCGGTCATCCTTTATTCATTTATTATTTATAACAATATATTTGTTGCCGTCCTGGCGAATGATGGTGCCGCAAAACCGTGTAAGAATTAAATCAATATTTTTGTTATTAGGTAATTATTGTAATTGGATTGTCGCATGTACTCTCTGGCAATTAAAATAATCGAGCTTAAGACCACAGGTATATTGTCTTTCACTGTTTCCCAGGTAATGTTTTTGAATGTTAAAGAAAACACACTGGTGTTTATATATTGTTATGTGGAAATAACACTCATTCAGTCCTAAAAAGCAGTACAGCTCACGCCCGAATGTGAACTTCTTCAACTCCCTTTTCGAGGCCTTTTAAATCTGTCCCAGTATATGCACTGACAATGTTAGTTAAAAACACTCAACAATATATCTTATGCCAGCCTAAGTAAATGCACATTGTTTTTCTATGCTCATTTGACAACCAAGGCCAGGCTCGATGTGTTGCCGACTGGTCATCCCAATGAGCACAGAGCGTTCGCATCACGCTTTTTCTTTTGTTATGGTTCTTATATACAGTCGAAACCCTGCTACAACGAAACTAAAGAAGCGCGGAAAAAATTTTGTCGACGCGAAAATTTCGTTGTAGTGAAATTGAAAAAATATAGCCGATATGAACTATCAAAACAAAGCAACGTTTGTTCTCAAAATTCAAAAAGTGTCCACTGCTTTTTATTCTATTTCAGCAGCGTCACGACGCGATTCTCACCCGTGCATAGCCAGGCCATGATGAAGAGCATGCTGAAATAATGGCTGCTACCGCTTTCATGAACGAACCAAACAGTGGCATTAACACGTTAACACCAGCAGCTGTCCTGCCGTCGAAAACCCCGAGATGGCAGCAGGGTATCTTGGAGGCAGTGACTTTCACCTTATTTTATGCCATTTTTTATCATTCATCACTCACGGCTAGCCGATTTTGTTGATAATGCGGATGAACAGCCGCTCTGATTGGTTACCACACTGGCCAAGCGAGAACAAAATGATAAGCATTGGAATTGGAAAAGGCATCGTTCTGCAGATGCACCTAGCAGCTGCGCGAAGGAAACCATGAACTAAGCAACTGAGCTTTAGCTTCGGATTGTCTGTGGCTATACAGTAAACCCAATCTTTAACATTTTGGTGCATTTTCAGAACCTGAAAATATATCAAAATGTTAAAGATTTGGTTTACTGTATAGCAATAAACAGCTGAGCCTGGAATCGCTTTGTGAAATTTTGTTGAAGCAGGAAGGCAGACGAAAAAGTGTTCGTTGTGGCGACAATATTTATGCATTGACTCCTATTAACTGCTGATGGGGAACCATGAATTTTTTATTGTAGCGCGAATTTCGTTGAAGTGGCGTTCGTTGTAGCGGAGTTCGACTGTACTGAGCTTAAATGAAATAAAGATTAACCTACCTTCAAAAACAATACAAGCCCATCATTTATATAAGCCGCAAAACCAAAGAAAACAAATCCTACATCACATAACTACATTCATCCCTCGAGCATAGAGAAAAATGATCGTGATAGCGTGCCGTGCGCAAGCAGGTGAGTGCATTTGCCACCAGGAATATTACGTGACCAAGCCTAACTGGCTCCCATTCTGTTTTACACCAGCTTTTCTAAATACAGCTGTCTAAGCAACATGTCAGAGGACATGTTTCTTCTGAAATGTTGGAGGAAGAACTACTTTTAAAAGATTCAAGATTATTGTTATCTCGCGCCCACCTGCAGTGTATACACCATGATGGCTACACTAGCTTCTGCGCCACCCAGTGGCGCCTTAGTGACTAGCACTAGTGACTCCACAGAGACATACTTCTATTCGAGTCCACAAGTTTCATACGCAGTGAAGTATAGTTTCTTCACAGCTGCGTTTATAGCCTCTATCAATCACGACACAAGCACGAAACAAGGCAACAGAGGCCACAACCAGGGAGCGCGCTGACACGTGCGAAATTGACGAGCTCAACTGACATTGCAGAAGCAGCAGTTGCGGGGATGGATACAACCAATGCTACGAAGTTCATGAAAAAGTCAGACGGCTATCAAAAGCTGGCTAACAAACTTAAGAAGGGTGTCTTGCAGGGCGAGTTGGTAATATTCTAATAATAACGTAGCTCAAAACACACAGACAGCAGAGCACACACACAGCGCTATCAACTGAATTTCCTGACCATACAGAAGGAAAAAAGGAGAGAAGCTGATGGTTCTTTGTGGCGCAGAGTTGTGCCAATTGTGACAAAAGAGAGCGCCTGGTTCCAATTCAGTGTGGTCGTCAGACACTGTACATGGCAAGCATATCTTCAAAGGTACGATTAAAGCGTTCCGTTATGTCATTGGTTTGAGGATGCTATGCCGAGGTTTTCCAATGGACTATGCGACATTCCTTGAGCAGCTCATTGACGGCCTTCGAGAGAAACACTTGTCCACGGTCTCTCAGTAATTCACCAAGGTGCACCATGTCCCAAAATCAGATGGTGATGAAGGAACGAAGTAGTGTCTTTTCGCGGTGGTAGCAGGCAGCTCAGGTGTCTCAACGTAGCATGTCAAACGATCTACGGTGACGGCAATTTGCCGGTTGCCTTGAAGTGTGTTGGGTGGAGGACCAAAAAGATCGATTCCAACGCGGTCGAATGGTCTCACTGGGCAGGTAAAGGGTTGCAAAGAGCCAGCAGTGCTTTAAGAACGCGTCTTGCAGCGTTGACACATGGCACATGACCGAATGCACTGGCGAACGTGCTGATACATGCTGCGCCAGTAGTACCTTAGACGAAGGCGGAGTAAGTCTTGAATACTCCAGCGTGGCCGCACATCGTGAGCTGTTATCTGTCAGGTAATTGCAGCTACACAACAAGCCTTCATGGACAGCAAAGTGTCTTGCTTGGCGAGAAAAGGAGCGTAAAGTGGATTTTGACGAACTGGGAGAGAGGACGTTGAGCAGAGAATTGATCCAGGAATCCTTGCACTGCTCGGCTGGCATGTGGATAATGCTGAACGATGACGATTCCCAGGTGGTGGTTGGTAAGTATTCAAGGTCAGCAGGCAGTGGAAAATGGGATATGGCATTGGCGTCTGAATATCTGCGTCCTGAGCGATAAACAATACGGATGTTGTATTCCTGAAGACGTAAAGCCCGACAAGCGAGGCAGCCAGTAGGGTCTTTCGTGAACGATAGCCCGCATAAGGCATGGTGGTCTGTGTTAACTTGAAACTGGCGTCCGTAAAGAGAATTTCGAAATTTCTCTAAAATGATAGCCCTAATGATAGCCAAGCACACCTTTTCCGTCACAAAATAGTTTGACTCTGCTTTCATTAGGGTATGGCTGGCATAGGTGTCAGCGTATTCGTCGCAACCATCCTTGTGTTGAGCGAGAATGGCACCGAGGCTGACATCCACTAGTGTCTGTGTGA